AGAAGGAGGAAGAGAGGGAGAAACATAGATGTGAGAGAGACACATCGAGTGGTTGCCACCCACATGACCCCAAACGGGGGGGGGGGGCGGGAACTGCAGCCGAGGTACGTGCCCTTAGCAGGAACCGAACCAGGGACTCAGTGGTCCACAGGCCGATACTCTAACCACTGAGCAAAACTGGCCAGGGCTCTGATAAAAAGTTTGGAAGAGAACTAGCAATGTGCACTGTCACTGAGTTCATAGGTTTTAAGACGTTTTAGAAGTGGGTGGCAGTTGTGTTTTGTCACAGAGAGATAGGATTGAATGAGAATCAAGAAAGGGCTCTTGAATTTGGCAAGAGAGGTCATAAATAAATGAGAGATTGAGAGGAAAGTCAGATAGCAAGGTACTAAGGGGAATGGATTGATAAGTGGATGAAGACATATCTTTAAGGAATTTGACAATAAAAGAAAGGAGACTGGGAAGGGGAAGGGAAGAAACTGATTTTTATTGAGCTGTACTATTGGTTTTAGTGCCCACAACATTAGGAAACTATTATTCTTTCTGTGTTAGGTACTGAGGCTGAATGCCTCCTAGGTTTTACTCCCCAGGAGTTTCCAGTCTGGTGGTAAATTAAAATTACAATATGATAGTAGTTGTAATGAGTAGACTGTATGTACAGTGTTTTAGTGGAAATAGGAAAGTGGGCCCACTTTATTGAATCCCTAAAAATGTGTCAGACACTAGGCTTTCAGATGGGTATTTATAAATAAATGGAGCTGCAGGTGGTTAGAAATTTATTCATAGTCACATTGTGACTAAGTGGTGGATTGTATTAGTTTATTCTACAAATATTTACTGGGTGTCTACTATATGTGGACACTGTTCCAAGATCTTGGGGGATATAGCACTGAACCAGAGACAAAAATTCTTGCACTCATGGAGCTTACATTCTAGAGGAGAGAAAGGAAGGATTCAAATCCTGTTTTGTCTTGATTCCAGATTCTGTTTTCATTTTAGTATACCGTGTAAATGATGTATCCTTTGAGAGGATAGGCTGGGGAGGATCAGGACAAAGGGAGGGTGAAGGTGAGTGGTGAAGAATGAGCAAGTATTTTTGCATGGAGTCACGGGGGAAGAAGCATTTCAGGCGATGAGAACAAATGGTTGTGTGGGTTGTGCACTTGAGATTTAGGAATTAGGATAGGACCTGAATCCTAACTTTCTCCCAATAGAAAGACTAATGAGAATAAATTTGCCTGGGAGGATGAGGAGAGTAAGAAATTAGAGGAACTAAGGCAGTGAGGGCGGGGTGTGTATGTGTGTGAAAGGCTTTGATTTGTAGGATGGAGATTTTAACTTTTAAGTTGTCAGTCCATAAAATGTTTTTGTTTTTTTTTAAATATACAAGTATTTTTATTTTATTTATTTATTTTATTTTATTATTATTTATTATCCTCACCCAAGGACATTTTTGCATTTATCTTCAGACAGTGGGCAGGAATGAGGGAGGAAGAGAGAGAGAAACATCAACGTGAGAGAGACACATCGAGTGGTCGCCATCCACACGACCCTAACCGGGGCCAAGGACAAACTGCAACTGAGGTACGTGCCCCTAGCGGGAACTGAACCCAGGTCTCTCTGTTCCACATGCTGACGCTCTAACCGCTGAGCCAAACTGGCCAGGGTGATAAAATGTTTTTATATAGTTGCTGTCATAATATGTTTATGTACTATAATTAAGGAGTTTAGCCTTAAGGGACTGAGGTGACATTAAAGAAACACTTGGGGATGGTGACTTGGATGATCAATCTAATATATAAGAAAGGTTGGAAGAGGGTCCTAAGATTTGGATTAAGGGGTCTAAAGGATTGGGTAGTCTTAGTTGTGAGGATAAGTCAGCAAAGGACATTTACATGACACCTGGAAAGGGGTGAGTACAAGTAGTTTTTACTTGGAAGATCAGTAATCTAGTCCCATTGTCCTAGAAAGTGAGAGATAAAGATGGTGTAGTGTAAACTGAGCAGCTCTATTTGTTTAACTTGAATTTTGGTGTACAAGCCAAAAGAACAAGGTATTTTTTAAATCCAGTATGCCCACTGTATAGTTGTGAGGAGAAGTGCAGGAACATCCAACTAAACATAGCCTGCTTCTCTTCCTTTTCACTATGATATAGGCAGAAAAAGAGGAAGACATGAGTGAAGGCTTTATCACCCTTTTTTTAAAAACTGTCTTTCTTAGTGGTCGCCAACTTCTCTTGAAGTGCAACTTATTATGTATAACTACATACATTTTAGTCATTGGATTATTCCATCTTGTCTGTAGCCAGTTGTTTATTTTGTGTCTGCTATGTATTAGTGCATTCACATGGCTCAGTAAACTTTAATAGTGAAACAGATGAAACTGAAAGAGCCAGTATCATGAACTTAATTGTGAAGTCCTGGGGGACTGTTGTATTGGTTTCTAGGTTTGGCTATATCTGATTGAGCCTCTAGGTAAGTGATTTAAACAAGGTACATTTTTACTTTTCTTTCACATAATAGTGAACCAGCATGGCAGTTCAGTTACATGAAGTCCTAGGCCCTACCTCTCTTGTTCCTCCAATATTCCTAGGGTGTTGCCCTCATGTGCCTGGCCCAGGGTGACTCACTCCCACTTCTACATTTAACCAGCAGGAAGGGGGAAAATATTTGACCTGGAAGTTGCTGCATCATTTCCAGTCAGAATTTAGTCACATGGTGACACCCTAGCTGCAAGGTTGGGTTGGAAATGTGTTTCTTTTGGGTAGTTGATATGCCCAGCAAAAATCTGTTACTGTAGCAGGAGGGGAGAATGAATATTGGGTGAGCTAACAGCTATTTCAGGGACTTTGGTACTGCTTTGAGTACTGCTATTCATAAAGTCTGAATAAATTGTTCTCATTAGTATTTTTATATGAAAGACTGAAGGTGTTTAAGTCCTGGATTCACCTGCTATTGTGGCAATAAGAACTCTAAGAGATTATTCACAGAAATGTTTCCATTCTTTACCACCAATAATGGTAAAGAAAAGTATTAGTATGCATTTATTATAACTATAGCATGACATTCAACCTATATTTGTTTTCCATTGGTCTGTAAAAAATTAAAAAGTGGCAAGAACCCTTTTGTTGCTATCTGATAAAGTGTAAAAAGTGAGCAGTAATTTCGTAGGTTAAAGGGTAGATAGACTCTGGCAGTTAAGCTTTGTTGACTTTGGCTGCTGTGATCATGCAACCTTTTGTGCTTCTGGGACCAAAGTAATTTGGGGACCATATTTATGATTTTTGACCATAACTGCCTACCTTATATGCTTTACTGAATGTTTGTCCTTAAATTTACTTTAAAGTGATTCATTCTTTAAACTTAGCCTCCTTCTAAGCCATGATATATTAAAATGTGGATTTATTTCTGAATAGATATTGAAATTCATAATTATTAAAATAAAATGTCCCTTTAACTGCCTAAAACATCTCTTTCAGTACCAATGATATGTACTCACACTTAGGGAAATAGTGCTTTGCTTCAGTCTTGAGGCCCTGCTGCTACTTTTTTGTAAACTTTCCATATATCCATAGCTACTAAATGGCTCTGAATTTCAAAGAATTATCTTTCTGCTTTCAACTCTGGTAGGGAAACTACTAGTTAGTGCTTAATTTAGAGCTAAGAATAAATTGCCCCCTTGACAGGATTATTAAGAGTGGTCTATAAAATATAGCTGTATAAAGACCTTTTCAAGATCTCCTCCAGGACCTATTGGGCAAGATGCTTATCTTTTGTAGGCCTTAGTTTTCTTATAATTAATGGGACAGTATTATTTACCCCATAAGGTTGTTCTGAGGATTAAATAATACATGCAAAAGGCATAGCAGTGGCAGGCACCCTTTCTGTTGATGGATGTTTGGGCTATTTCCAGTTTTGGACTGTTTTGAATAAAGTGTACCTAGGAGTGGAATTGCTGGGCCATAGGTATGTTTATTTTTTATAGATACTACCAAACAATTTTCCAAAGTGGTAATATTCCCATCAGAATGAATGAGAATTCCAGTTGTACAATATCCTCTGCCACAGTTGATATTGTCCTTCTTTTAAATTTTAGCCATTCTGATGGGCAGGAAGTGGATCTCATTATGGTTAAGTGTGTGTGTGTGTGTGTGTGTGTGTGTGTGTGTGGTTAATTCTCACCTGAGGATATTTTTTCTATTGATTTTTAGAGAAAGTGGAAGAGAGTAGGGGAGGGGGGAGAGAGAGAGAAAGAAACATCAATGTGAGAGAGACACATTGATTAGTTGCCTCCCCCACACGCCTGGACCAGGGCCTGGGATGGAGCCTGCAACCCAGGTACATGCCCTTGACCAGGAATTGAACCTGTAAACCTTCAGTGCACAGGCTGACGTTCTAACCACTGGGCAGCACTGGCTAGGGTTCATTATGGTTTTAATTTACATTTCTTTGATAAGTAATGGTATGGAAGCACCTTTTCATATGATTATTGACCATTTATTTATTCCTTTTAAAAAATATGTTTTTACTGATGTTAGAGAGAGAGAAAGGGAGATGGAGAGAGAAACATCCACAAGAGAAACATTGATCGAATGCCTCCTGTATGCCCCCTACTGGGGATTGAGCCCAACACCTGGGCATGTGCCCTGACTGGGATTCAAACTAGTGAACTCTTGGTGCATGGGATGACTCTCAACCAACAGCCATATGGGCCAGAGCTGGTATATTTGTCTTTTTCTTATGGATTTCTGTATTGATTCTGGATATGAGTCCTTTGGATATAGGAATTGTGATATTTTCTTTTATCCTGTGGTTTGCGTTTTTACTTTCATAATGTATCTTTAATGAACAAAATTCTTAATTTTAATGAAGCTTAATTTGTCTTTTTAAAATTTTTTTTTATGGTTAGTGCTTTGGTACCTTAAGTTTTTGCTCTGTCCATGTTTGAAAATACATATTTAAAAATATTTGAAACTAATGCTTTTCTCTGTAACAACATAGGTGATGCCATGGAGAGTGGAAAGCCTGGTCCAGTGCAAGTTGTTTTGGTTCATAAAGACCAACATTCCTTTGAGCTGGAAGAGAAGGCCTTAGCCAGCATCCTCTTGCAGGACCACATTCGAGACCTTGATGTGGTGGTGGTGTCAGTGGCTGGTGCCTTCCGAAAGGGCAAGTCCTTCTTTCTGGACTTTATGCTTCGATACCTATATTTCCAGGTAAGGTAGAATTAATTTCTTTTCAAATTGGAAAATGAGAATTTCTGTTTGAAAGAGCAAAATAAGCTCATGCATTATTTTTCATGTTTAATATTAAATTTAAGATTTAATGGAAATGTCCTATTTCTCCTGTAGAAAGAAGGTGGCCATTCAAATTGGTTAGGTGATGCAGAAGAACCATTAACAGGATTTTCATGGAGAGGGGGCTCTGACCCAGAAACTACTGGGATTCAGATCTGGAATGAAGTTTTCACTGTGGAGAAGCCAGGTGGGAAGAAGGTAAGGAAGAAAAAGGCTTACAAATGATCAAAAATGAACAAAATAATACCTTTAATGTATATGTTGATAATCAAAATTTTTATTACAATGATATGTGTGTGGTTGAAAATAAAGCATGAATATATTTGAAAAGGTCAAATAGTAATAAAAGACTTCTAACAAAAAAAATAGTAAGCTACAGTTGTAGAGTCTATCCCCAAATTTCTTTGTAAGGGTCAGGAGGACCAAGTCATGTGTCTCTCTTTTTTTTTAATCCTCACTGGAGGATACATTTATTGATTTTAGAGAGAGGAAGGGAGAGAGAGAGAAAGAAAGAAACATTGATGTGAGAGAGAAACATCAATTGGTTACCTCCTGTATACACCTCGACTGAGCATCTAACTTTCCCTAAGTATCCTGGCTAGGTTGGTTGGAGTGATGCCCTGTGCCCCCGAAGGTCACAGGTTCGATTCTGGGTTAGGGCACATATCTGGGTTGCAGGTTCAATCCCTGGTGGGGATGCATATGGGAGACATTCAATCGATGTTTCTCTCTCACATTGATGTTTCCCTTTCTCTCTCTCTCTCTTTCCCTCCCCCTCTCTCTAAAATAAATAAAAACATCCTCAGGTGAGGATTAAAAAAAACATTTAAAAAAATAAAGAACTAGAACAGAGTAGAAAGTATTAGAGTGCAGTACATAAATGAATTTAGTTTAAACTTTATGTATGTGTATATTTGGTCATGATGTAACATATATTTCTTACTATGGATTCCAGTTGAAAACATTAGAAAACCACCTAGAAGTGGAATTGCTGTGTCTGAGAATGCCCATTCTCCCCTCTTTTAAAACTACTGCCAAATTGTTCTTTATTTTTTCCAAGATTTTTAATATATTTTTCTTACCTCCTGAAAAATTTGCACAAATCAGAGTCTTCATATATACTCACAACATTGTATTAAATTTTATTCTCATAACAATGATTTTCAAGGTATTGTTAAACATGTACTAAAATTACTTATATTACCTGGCCAGTGTGGCTCAGTGGTTGAACATTGACTTGTGCACCAAGAGGTCGCTGGTTTGATTCTTGGTGAGGGCACCTGCCCATGTTGTGGTCCAGATCCGCAGTGGGGCCATGTAGGAGGTGGCCAATTGATGTTCTCTCTCATCAGTGTTTCTCTGTCTCTTTCCCTCTCCCTTCCTCTCTCTTTAAAATCAATTAAGAAAAAAGAAAAAATTATATTTTTGCATACTTAATAATTACTAAACAGTACTAAGAAAAAGCAAAATACATTTTTCTCATATAAATTCTAATTTCTACAGAAAATTCTGAGTCAGATATGTCATTCTTTCTAAATTATAAAAAAATAATCTAATGTATGAGATAGCTACAATAAAAAGAAAACATACATGTATGTTTAATCATTGACAGTATTACAAATGTCCCCCAATTCCCCCATCCCTTCCACCCCAGTCCCACCCCAAGCCTTGATCTACACTATTTTCTGTGTCTATTGGCTATGCATATATGTATATAAGTGTATATAAGTTCTTTAGTTAATCCCCCCCATGATATGTCAGTCTGTTCCATGCATCCATGTCTCCAAATTATTCTTGAAAGGAGTTATGGCACTTTACCATTCTTTTTGTTTTTTAAAATTTTTTTCTTTATTCATTTTAGAGAGGGAGGTGGAAGGAGAGAGAGATAGAAACATCGATGAGAGAGAACATCGATCGGCTGCCTCCTGCGTGCCCCCCACTGGGGATTTAGCCCACAACCTGGGCATGTGCTGTGACCAGAAATCAAACCAGCGACCTCTTGGTACATGGATTGATGCTCAGCCACTGAGCACCACCTGCCTGGCGGCACTTTACCATTCTAACACATTATAGGAGAATATTATTTTCCCCAAATATCCAGCACTTTAAGTATACATGACTGCCATTACTCAAAGAGCTTTTCTTTAGTATTTCCCCTTGTTTCCTCTATTTAGCCTTATTTTTTTGGTCAGCAAATATATGCTATCATTAACCCCCTTTTTGTTTTTAGAATGGCTATTATTTTATTATTATTATTTTTTATCCTCACCCGAGGACATTTTTCCATTTTTTTGTTCAGATAGAGTAGGAGGGAGGGAGAGAGAGAGAAACATCAACGTGAAAGGGACACATCGAGTGGTTGCCACCTGCACGACCCAACCAGGGCCGGGGACAAACTGCAACTGAGTACGTGCCCCTAGCGGGAACCGAACTCAGGTCTCTCTGGACCGCAGGCTGACGCTCCAGCTGCTGAGCCAAACCAGCCAGGGCTCATTAACTCTTTTTTTATTGAGATAAATTTATATACTATAAAATTCATCTTTTAAAAATATAATAATTCAGCAGTTTTCAGTATACTCACAAAGCTGTGCAGGTATCACCACCATCTAATTCCAGAACATTTTCAGCACCCCAGAAAGAAACTCAGTTCCCACTAGCAGACTTTCCTCATTTCCCTGTTCTTACAGCCCCTGGACACCACTGATCTTTTAGAATTACAGATAGGCGATTATAGTTTTCTATGTGTATTTTTGGTTTGTTTATATGTAATATTTTATATGTACCAGGTGCTTGCTTTTTTTCTAGCAACATTTTTGTTTTTAAACAAAAATAATATGTATACATAGTTTAAATAGTTAAATAGTATTGCAATGTTGACAATAAAAAGGAGCATCCATCCTTTCTACCACCTGGTCCCTTTCTCCAGAGGCAATCACTTGTAGTACTTTTTGCTGTGTTTTGTGCTGTTTGCTTCTAATTTTTAAAATTTTACTTTTAGGGTAGGAATGGGTTACTAAGTCCTTTTTGGAAAGCCTGAGGCCTCAAGAAGCCTAGCTGTATTACATAGAGTGCAATGATAGCCTTGATTCTCCTGCTTTCATTTGGCAGCTTTGGTGTGGTCTGTCTTTTGTAAAGATTGAAATAAATGTTAATTTTCTTTTAAACATCCTGAAAACCCTAGACATTTGAGAGAAGAATACAGCCTTGCAGGTAAATGACAAAAATATTCCAGCCCTTTTGTTTTATTTTATTGAATTATACCATAGTTTAAAGTCAGTTAGTATTCTTTATTTCTTTTTCAACAATAAAAGCCCCGCCGGAGTGGCTCAGTGGATTGAGCTTAGACCCAAGGACTGAGGTCCCAGTTCGATTCCCTGACAGGGAACACGCTTGTGTTACTGGCTTGATCCCCAGTAGGGGCGTGCAGGAGGCAGCTGATCAGTGTTACTCATATTGATGTTTCTATCTCTTTCTCCTTTCCTCTCTCTCTAAAAAATTAATAAAAACATAAAAAAAACTTAAACTTTAAAAACAAAATAAACCAAAAAACCATCCATATGACTGGCTTGGTGAGTGAGCTAATCGGCCTCAACATTTGGCTGTTTTAGTTGGGGCAATTTTCCTCTCTTTCCCTATTGTTCTGTAGTCCTCTGTTATCTCCAGCAAAGTTCTCTGTTTAAAACAAGACACCTAAATAAATTATACTTTTCTTTTTTTTTTTTTTTTATCCTCACCCGAGGATATTTTTCCATTTTTTGTACAGATAGAGTGGGAGGGAGAGAGAGGAAGGGAGAGAGAGAGAGAAACATCGACGTGAAGGGACACATCGAGTGGCTGCCACCAGCACGACCAACCAGGGCCAGGGACAAAGTGCAACCGAGGTACGTGCCCTTTTTCTGATAGAACCTATAAGCAGGTGCGTAAGCCTCATTTCAATGTTACCTATACTTTTCTTTTTTATATATATATATATATTTTTTATCCTCACCCGAGGACATTTTTTGTTCAGGTAGAGTGGGAGGGAGAGAGAGAGGGAGAGAAACATCAATGTGAAAGGGACACATCGAGTGGCTGCCACCCGCACAACCGACCAGGGCCGGGGACAAACTGCAACCAAGGTACATGCCCTTAGCGGGAACCGAACCCGGGTCTCTCGGGACCGCAGGCTGATGCTCTAACCGCTGAGCCAAACCGGCCAGGGCTCAATGTTACCTATACTTTTCAATTTCTTCTTTACATTTTCCCCCTTCTCACTTTAACATATTTTGTTTGTCTTTTTCTTTTTTATTAGGTCGCAGTTGTTCTGATGGATACCCAGGGGGCATTTGACAGCCAGTCCACTGTGAAAGATTGTGCTACCATCTTTGCTCTAAGCACCATGACTAGTTCTGTTCAGGTAAAACCAATGACTAGGAAAAATAGTTTGCAGAGGAAATAAGATAAAGGGGTTGCATCTAGTTTTAGTTATTGTTCTATTACCAGAATTCCTATGGTGATATGTAAATATTCTTTATAGACTACTGATATAGGTTACCTCTTATAGGCTCAAGAAGACACCTAAACCATTTTCCACTTTGGTCATAAATTGTATATAAAAGACTCTAATAAAAGTCTGAAAGTGGAAATTGAAATTACATCATATAGGAAATATAGATTTGGTAAGAACTTAAGAAAATGATATTTTAAACTGTAAAGGAAGACTTAACGTTATTTCAGTCATGTAAGCATAGTTTTCTGAAGGACAGAGAATATTACTGTTTGAACCGACTTCATATTCTTATATGCAAACCTATAAATGTACAAAGCAATGCTTTAGGCCTATTTGGGCTTTGTTTGAGGTAAGCTAAAGTATCAATTTGGATGTTTGTTTTCTAGATTTATAATTTGTCTCAGAACATTCAGGAAGATGATCTTCAACAGCTACAGGTATATATTCTTCATTAAAACATCATAATATCTCTTTTAAAAGTTTTAAAAACAGAAAAATTTTACTTGAGTAGTTTGAGCAAAAGATTGAATATTGAGGAAGGTTTTTTTTCCACAGTAATTCCACACTGTATATTTATTGCTGAAGAAAATAGGGAAGGCCTTAATGAGTTGAGCAGGGAACTAAAGAAAGTGGCCAAGTAAGTCCTACAGACCTATCTGGGTGGAAAGTGCTATAGGAGAGGTAACAGCCATAAGAAAGATCGTGAGGTGGAGTGTGCTTAGCAGGATCAAGAAATAGTATAATATTTCTTTAAAAAACAAAACAAAACAAAATAATTCCTAAACTTTGGCCCTTAATGTTACTACTAGGAATTACTATATATTATGTAATACAAATTATATTATAAATTGGTAGTTCTACACCAGTGCCATGACTTGATGGTTGAGAGCTGTTGATCTGTAAAATATTTCCATCAAAACTTAAATTTGACACCTTTTCACCTGAAACTAGTTTCTTTTTGAACTCCTTCCTCTCACACATTTCTTTGAATGCCCACCTTGTGTGCATTTAAAGATACAGTTAAACAATAATGTTATAGATGCAATAGTGCTTGAGGCAGACTTAATTGATTATTTATGGATTTTGTGGTCTGGTCAGTGAGAGAGATACATAAATATATATATGTGTGCTATAACAGCACCACAAGCTGGGTGGCTGAAAACAATAGAAATTTACTATCTTAGTTCTGGAGGCTAAAGGTCAGAAATCAAATAGTCAACAGGGCCCTTTTCTCTGAAGCCTGTGGGGTAAAATCCTCTCTTACCTCTTCCTAGCTTCTAGTGGTTTGCTGGCAGTCCTTGGCATATGTTGTTGACTTGCAATTATAGCACTTCAATCTCTGCCTCTGTCTTCATGTGGCTGTTTTCCCTATGTCCATGTGTCTTTCGACTTCACATTGCATTCTCCTCCCTGTGTCTCTGTTATTTCTTCCTCTAAGAACAGCAGTCATATTGAATTAGGGCCCATGCTAACTCATCTTAACTTGATTACATGTGTGAAGACTATGTTTCCAATAAGATCACATTCACAGGTACTGGGGATTAGGACTTAAAGATATTTTTTGGGGGGAGATACAACTCAACTCATAACAGATGGTAAGGAAAATAAGATGCAGTTACATAATTCTCCTTTGATACTATTCTCAAAAACTTCCCTACCCTTTGATTCCTCAAACCCAAGATATGTTTAAGGGTATCTTTTCCATAAGCATTTTAACATCAGGTGTCCCTGATTCTTTTAATTATATCTTGCTTTAGGGGAGGAAAAATATCTTTTCTCTACTCATCTTAGATTTTTGGCTGAGGCAGAGATTGAATGGAGATGCCTGCTTTGATGAAGAAGACTGGGACAGGTGTCAAAGTTCTTGGTAAATAAGAGGGAATGCACATGGTTAGTAGATGGACACCAGTAAAGAATTAAAAGGAGATTGTTCTGCAGAATGGCTGGAAACTTAACGGAGTAGGGGTCTTTACAAAAAGATGGAGAATACTGTTTAGAAGTGATAACGGGAATCAAGGGAGTCACCAAATTCACCTTTTGATCTGGAGAAACATGGGATATGGGAGAATAATGGCTACCAGTTGAGATATCCACAGGGAAAATTGTGCCCTCTGAATTTAGTTAAAGCAGGGAGGTAGAAGAAACATTCAAAGAAGCAGTTGGAAATTTAGTGGGAGTTATTGTGGATTTGAAGTTACAGAAGATACAGTGGAAGTACCTGGAAAGGGGGAGGTCCAGAGCATTATGTGGATGATAGTGTCAGGGCCTTAGACGAGAGCTGGAGGGAGGGGTGTGGCTGTGTTAGAGCCTTTGTTGGTGAAAATAGGGATGGTGGGTTTGGTGCTCTAGTGGATGGCCACTGGGCCTAATGGCTGGAGGACCTAATGGCTGAAGGACCTGTCTCACTTGACAAGGCTGATTGATGGTGACTCCAGAAATCGCACAAATTATATGTTAAAAGGAGAAAATAATATTCTTGTGTGCCTGAAAATTCACAAGAATCAACTGGACAACTATTTATAATTAGTATAAAACTTAATTCAATACCTGTCAGATTACAAATACAAAAATCAATAGGCTTTCCTATCTACCAACATTAACCAGTTTAAAAATGTAATGGACCCCTGGCCGGTTTGGCTTAGTGGTAAAAACGTCGGCCTGCGGTCCAGAGAGACCTGGGTTCGGTTCCCGCTAAGGGCACCTACCTCAGTTGCAGTTTGTCTCTGGCCCTGGTTGAGTCATGCGGGAGGCAACCACTCGATGTGTCCCTTTCACGTCGATGTTTCTCTCTCTCTCTCTCTCTCTCCTTTTCTCTCTCTCCCACCTCCCACTCTATTTGAACAAAAAATGGAAAAATGTCCTCGGGTGAGGATAAAAAAAAAAAAAATGTAATGGAGAACATTTGCTATAGTAACAAAATAATAAAAACTCAGAATAAGCTTAAGGAGATTCATCTGAAGCACTTCATAATTGTATGAGGCATGTAAAAGATTTAACCTCATGTAGAAATATTCCTTGTTTCTTGTGTATCTATATTCTGTGTATGTATCTTTTATATTTATGTGTAGCTAACACATTTATTGCTTACTCTGTGCTAGACACTGCTGTGTATTACATGTATTATCTCATTTGAGATAATACTATAACGTTGCCGCTTCTCCATTAAACAATATTATAAAGGCATTATTTTCGGAATTTGACAGACTTGTTCTAAAATTCATTTTGAAAGTTGAATTGTAAAACAGCCAAAAAAAATTTACAAGGGATGGCCCTGGCCAGTTTTGCTCAGCAGTTAGAGCATTGACTCGCGGACCAAAAGAGTCACAGGTTCAATTCCGGCCAGGGAAAAGAGGTCAGAGCTCCTGACTAGTCAGGTGTTGCATGTTTTAAAAATTTTTGCAGCACACTGGTTGAAAATAACTGATTTATTATGATAAAGTATATTTTCATATGTTTTGTACCTCTTAAGAATATATGATTCTGCCCTGGCTGGTGTGGCTCAGTTGCATGCACCGAAGGATCTTGGGTTCAATTTCTAGTCAGGGCACATACCCACGTTTCTGGTTTGATCCCTGGTTAGGGCACTTGTGGGAGGCAACCGATCCATATTTCTCACGTAGATGTTTTTCTTTCTCTTGCAATCTCTCTTCCTCTTGCTTTAAAACAAATAAAAGAATATATGACTCTATACCAGAAAGGATGGATCAGTCAATAAATGATGTTAGGGTAGTTGCCTGCCTATTTAGATAAGGTGTAAATTAGATCCCTGCCTTGTACTACATGTCAAAATAAATTCCAGATGGCTTAAATATTTTGATGTAAAAAGAGAAACCATAAATGACTAGAAAAAATAGGCCAATATACAACATTGAGGGAGAATTTTCTAAGCAAGACATCAAAGGTGTGGAAGACAAAAGAAAAAATTGGGTAGATTTTATTTCATTATAAATTACAAAAACAAAGGTTTCCTGGTAGAGTTACTGTCTTCACTTTATGCCTTCTTCATAGAGTCCGGGATTAAGCTTTATAAATTGGTAGTATGATGTCTATCATTGGAATAGTTTTTCTCTTTTTAAAAGTAATAATGTGTGCCTGGCCGGTGTGGCTCAGTGGTTGAACATCGACCCATGCACCTCTAAGAGGTCACCGGTTTGATTCCTGGTCAGGGAACATGCCCAGGTTGTGGGCCCGATCCCCAGTTGGGGGCATGCAGGAGGTGGCCAGTCGATGTTCTCTCTCATCGATGTTTCTCTCTCTCTCCCTTATCTCTCTTCCTCTCCCTTCCTCTCTGTCTAAGATCAATAAAGAAAAAAAAGTTAACAATGTATTATTCATGAAATTAGAAATGATATTGTCTTTGCAAAAAACTGGATACGAGGGATAAAACTGAATCCCTATTATCATTTGTATTATTTTCTATGTATTTGTTAACATATATATCCCTATAGGAAATATATAATAGGTGACACTAAGCCCTTAGGGGCTACCTATGTTTTGGAATCAATTTTTTTTGGAGGGGTTTTAGATAGGTAATATGTTTCATACGATAGCATGAGGTCCAGGACAAGAATGGACGTTCAGGTAATACCTCCTAATTAATATTTCTGTCATGAAGTGTATGACCAATTATATGAAGTAGGATAAATAGCCTATAAAAAGCCTCACATCAGTTCAAGGCAGGTTTTCCTTCAAATGAGTTTGCTGCTTAACTTGGGTTTTTAGAGCTTTTTGAATTGCAGAATTACAGATAGTAGATCATAGGTTTTGTATTATAGTTTTATGTGTGTTTTTGTTTTGTTATGTAATATTTTATATGTACCAGGTACTTGCATTTTTTTAAACATTTTGTTTTAACTATTTAAACACACACATAGTTTAATTAGTTAAATAGTATTGCAACCCTGGCAACCACCAATCGTTCTCTGTACCCATGAGCTTGTTTTATTTTAAATTTTATTATTATTTTTTGTTATTTTAGATTCTACATACGAGATTTAGATTCCACATATGAGATTATATGGTATTTATCTTTTTCTTGTCTGACTTAATTTCACTTAGCATAATGCCTTCAAGGTCCATCTATATTGCAAATGGCAGAATTTACTTTTTTTTTTTTATGACAGGGTAATGTTCCATTGAATATATATGCCACATTTTCTTTATCAATTCACCCATTGATGGACACTTAGGTTGCTTCCATATCTTGACTGTTGTAAACAATGCTGCAATGAATATGGGATGCATATATCTTTTTGAGTTAGGATTTTCATTTTCTTTGGATTAATATCCAGAAGTAGAATTGCTGGCCCTGGCCAGTTTGGTTCAGCGGTTAGAGCATCGGCCTATGGTCCAGAGAGACCCGGGTTCGGTTCCCGCTAAGGGCACGTACCTCGGTTGCAGTTTGTCCCCAGCCCTGGTTGGTCATGCGGGTGGCAGC